TGTAATATGGCAGCTTCATGCCTTATTTCCCTCTTCAAATGACATACATTCAGGTGTATATATTTCCATAATATATAAGAATGTTTGCATGTTAGCCACCGGGTTGGTTTCAGTTTGAAAGCAGGATGCAGACAGGTCTGTGTTTGTGCCTGCAGGAGAGTCGGAGCACTTTCGTTTTCATGCTTGTGTGCAGAAACCTGCCTGTGGACACGTACAATACTGGCTAACAGGCACCAAAATAATTTGAAGTGTATTTTTCTCATGTCATTGTGTTAGCATAGGTTTAGGAAATATTAAAAATACTGCAACGGTATTCATTTTGTACTGCCCACCCACTGCAATACAGATCACTCCCAGGGGTTGCCTGTCTGCACCTCTGCATACAGCATGAAGAGAAAATAATGCATACCTGCCGGCCACTTCATTAGTAACAAGTTGCTAGGACTTGGTTGGCATAACAAATAAAAAAGTCTTTTTGTTTGAGTAAAAAGACAAAAATTTGATTGAGTTGTCACGAAAAAAAGTTTCTGAGCTCTGCAGGTAAAAGCGTATCCTGCTTATCCACCTCATGGTGTAATCATCAGTCAACCTGACAGGTTAGCATATAGCATCAATATAGCAGCTGAAAACATCAAGTTGCTGCCATGTAATTAGCTCATATGCGCATTAACAAGCATCTGAACACACACAAACATGAGTAGTCAACTCAAAGTCACTGCCTTGACCGATGCTCAGGAGGTAAAGCAACTCATCTACTCATCAGAAGGTTGACGATTTGCTCTAGTCTGTATACTAAAGTACCCATAGGCAAGAAACCGAAACCCAAATCGCTCCTTGTGAAAAAAAATGCTTGTTAATGAGGCATGATGTATAGTAAGAAGGCACTAAATAAGAACCAGTCCATTTACCTTTTTAACCTCGTTTGGATCCATTCATAAATTCAAAAAGGTTTTATTAAAATAGTGCCAAATTGCAACAGCAGAGGTCTCAAAATGTAAGTTAAAGATCCTACAATAACACAGAGAAAGCCCAAAAATCAGGCAGCCACCTGTGAGCAAGCGCTTGGCAACAGTGGGAGGCAAAAACTCCCTTTTAACCAGAAGAAAGCTCTGACTGAACCAGACCCATCTGCTGCGACTGGTTGGGGGTGAGGTGAGGAAGATCGGACAAAAGACAGACTTGTTAGGGAACATAAGTGTATAGAAGTCAGCAGAACAGGTGAAACAGTATTAGGACATTTTCATGGTTCTTTACCTGCTTTTTTAATGTCTTGAGTGTTTCTGGCTCATGTATGAAGTGCTAAGCAAACAGTAACTAATAAAATAAATAACTGGTGGAAAGCTTGTGTCTCCTGTAAACTAAAGGTTTCTCTTTCACAGTGCTGTATGTTGTGATATTTGTGTGATAGTGAATAACTTTTCGTGAGCATTATTTCTGAACCCTAAAGATTTCTTTGTGGGGAAAAGAGGCGCATCATTTCCTTACTGTAACTGTCGCGTAAAGCAATTTCCATCCTCGATAAAGCTGTCATCGCTCAGCACGGTGCACACGGGAGTGGGGATTGCAGCGGCAGTTACATCCCTGCCGTCACAAAGTGGCTGCTTGATGTGCCCACCGCACCGCGTGTGCGCCCGTGGCTCTGAAATTGCTTTAAATAAGTCACGCTGTGCGCATCATTGACTTTGCCATTCACCCCGCGCCACTGATCCAAAAAATAGAGCCCCCGAAACTGTCGCGACGAGACGCATTTCCCGCCTCTCCTTCTCACCTTGCACGCCCTCTTCCTTTCTCTCCTTCCTTTCTCTTTCCATCAGGGTCTGGTGGGAGAAAAGTACGGCAGCATCCGAGTGCCGGGGGAGGTGGAATCGGCGGAGTTTGAGATGATCTTGGATGCAGCGGTGGAGGCGGGGCTGGACACACACATCCTGGAAGAGTGGTACTGCAGGGATGAAAACTCGGTGCCACCCGCATACTACCTCAAACCCAAAGCCCAAATGCTCAAGAACTACCAGAACTCTGTGAGTCCAGAGCTTCAATCGCACTCACACACTAACAGGAGGCTCGAGCCGTTCGTGTCCTTGATTTTTGTGTGGAATGAATTAAATAGAAGAAGAGCAGCTCTTCTTTGAGGTCAATGAGTGAACTTTGTCTTTTTAAATGTTTCACATCCTTGCAAATCAGCCTGAAAAGCCACTTAAAGAATCTGTTAGCAACATTTATTTTAAATAAAACGTCCAAGGTCTGCCTTTAACTTTCAAGAGGTAGTACGCCTCAGTTTTCTTAAGTACACCATCTTGATGTTCCCTTGAGCTTCGCTGAAGTAAAAAAAAAAGTGCTGTGAAAGGCTTTGTGATGATAAAAATAATCACAGAGAAAATTCAAGATTTAAGCATTAAAGAGAGCCAGTCGTTTTGCGTTTCCTTACTCGCTGTCATATATAAACACACCGGCCACTTTTTTAGGTACACTTCGTCACACATTTTTTAACACAGATATTTGTAGGGTCAAAAACTCAAACCTGAGCATCAGAATGAGGAAGAAAGATCATTTTAGGTACTTTTAACATGGCGATGGAAAAATCTGAAAGTCTGAGCAACGTTTAAACAGCACAGCCTACAGCCAGGTATTGTTTCTGACCATGTCCAACCCTTTATGACCAAAGTGAACCCATCTTCTGATAACACAAAGCTCAGAATGTCTCACACTGGTTTTTTGAACATGACAATGAGTTCACTGTACTCAAATGATCTCCACAGTGATCAGATCTCAGTCCAGTAGAGCATTTTTGGGATGAATGGGAGCTGTGTGATCCCAAAGGTGTCAGTATGGAGAAAAATCTCTGAGGAATGTTTCCAGGACCTCGTTGAATCTGTGCCATGAAGAATTAAAGCAGTTCTGAAGGCAAAACAGGGTCTAATCATGTACTAGTGAGGCATATATAATAAGTCCAAGTAATCTCTTCAGACCATCCATGCTTCTTTGTAGACAGTTTTCAAGTGACTCTCAGTTAGAGGAATAGCTCTAATATGTTCATCTTTATGAGCAAAGAAGCCCCACCCCCTTTTCTTCAAACCTTCTGTTTGCATGTGTCAACCAATCGGAATAAAATGAACCTAAAGGGAGAGGAGCTAAAGTCAGCTTTACGATGAGCTTGTTTCATATGAAACGCTTGAATGTTTCCTGTGTCGCTGCACATATTTGCAGTCTTCTTGCACAGAAGCGAGTGACAGCACTCGCTCCGTACATGGTAAGAGTCCGTGCTGTGCAGTCAGACTGTCCTCTCTCTGCCCCCTCTTCTGCTTAGATGGAGTCAAGCAGCGCAGTCAAGACCAAGAACGACAAGGCCTGGAGGAACGTGTCAGAGGAGATCAAGAGGATCTTCCGAACGGCGGTGCTGCAGCTGCAAGAGAAAGGGACCATGAAGAGCGCTCAGGCCAAGAAATTTCTTTGCTCTGGTAAATTTCACGTCTGCTTTTTCTTTTCGTGTCATACTTTTCTCGGTACCTTCTTTTCAAGTAGGATCACGTCTCTCTGTCTGCTGGACTGCTGCTCACTTTTATCTTTCTGGCTTTTCATTTGGTTTTTGAAAATTATTGGAATTTTAGATTTTAAAAAATTGATTTGTTTCTTCTGTGATAGCTCGCTGGATGTTTTCAAGTTTTAAAAAGTCGGCTTGGGGTTGTTACAATGATGTTACAATAAAAGCCAGCTAATTTCTCCTTACAATTCTTCAATAATGAAAAAAGTTTGTTGGTCGCAGCCTCGATTGCTACAGTAAATAAAACACACAGTGAGTTTATTCCTAATCAATAAATTAAAAAGTTGTTGTTTTATGCGCACAACATAAAATACCCAATTAAAGAACACTTATATGCCAAGGTTGCAACTGGCTGGAATAAAAACAACATTAACCTTTGTAGGGAACAGAAAATCACACAGCAAAGGCCGTATATTTAATAAGTGAGCCTGTCACCTTGTAACTAAATTGATAACAAGAGATGAGATGCAATCAGGATCTATCAGAGTCACCTCAGCGGACGACAGTGATTGATCGATCACATATTCGCTTCTCTTCCGAGTTATTTATCCAAGCAGCGTGTCGCAGTGTCAGACAACCTTCTTTTAATCAAAAAGAAGCTGATGGTTGCCTTTCACAACTTTTTATTATTATTTATTATTATTATTATCTGTTTTCTGTGTTGTCTGTGCCCCATAGCAGCAGGGGTGTGTCTAAATGGAGATGTATGTGGTGGCACTTGCCCTGGTTGTAAGTCGACGGCAACAGATTTTTGCATTTCATTCATCACAAGCAGATTTCACACAGTTGATAACGTGACTGCGTTCAATCAGAAACCGACTGAATACTAGAGACTGGCTTCTGATTGTTTCTTATTTATTGCCACTTTGATGCATCAAAGTTGCTTCGAAGGCAGAAACTGACTGCAAGTGGTGCAGACCTGGTCCCCGTCTCAGAAGCAGTTATTTCAAAGGCAAGGATTGCGAGTTAAGTGCACAAAGTTGCAGCAGCCGCTCTGGTCAGTTGCAGCTGCAGTCTCCAACCATGGTGTTTTTCGGAGTAATAGAATATGAATCTAAATGAACTCTCAGGGCAGCCATATTTCCTCGTGCATGTTTAAAATGAATAAAATAAGAAATTAAAAACATTACAACTTGCTGAAGTTGCATCTAATTTTCTGACTCTCTCTGCATTAAAAGTCACCTCTATAAAAGGCGGTCCATCTGCTTTTCTTTTCTGATGCTGTCACAGTGCAAGCAACACACTACTAATGACACTTTAATGACAGTCTTATCAACCAGGCACAATTTAGTCGTTTAAATTGTGGAAATCGGGAATAATACAAGCTAATTAAGGAGTGTCGCTTAGAGTTTTATCATTTTAGATAACAAGGAAGCTTCTAGCTTTATGCACTTTAATTGAAGAGTCTGTGGAGGAAGTTGTGCCGTCTCCCAGAACTCCCAGCATTCCTTTCTCTCTTTGTCTCTTCCCCTCCGTCATTAGCAGACTGCCCTGTGAGCTCAGCTGAAAGCAGAGTTTCAGTCAGGCTCTTAGTGGGCGAGCCTGTGATACAGTTCAGTAAAGCTGCATTGTATGATTTTTACAAACCTTCTTGTGAATAAGATTCAAGAGAAATATAACGGGAGGCTAAAAGCTCCTTAAACCTGTTCCGTTCTGCTCGTGTCATGTCATGAATTTTTACCTTTGCAGGTTGCTCGTGGGTTTTGTGTGCTACTCGAATATGATCAATTAAAAAAAGTCTTTTTTCTTCTTTCAGCCTTGGAGGATGAATTAGACTTTGCCCTTGGGAAACAAACGCCTGCCTTTCTCAGGAAATGTGTCTGCTACATTCGCAAGATCTCCAACTTTGACCGCTTCGCCAAACTCCCTGACATGGCTCGCTACATGGACATCGTGGTCAGCAGCGATCGGGTCATGCGCAACCAGGAGGCCTACGAACGCCTCCTGAAGGTGCGGGATGAGTTCATCCCCACGGTTGTGGCCGCCTCCAATCTCCGCGTCTATTCTTCGGTCACCCACTGCGACATGAAGTTAGGCTACTCCCAAGAAGTGGAAAGCCACTATGTAGAAGGTCTGTGCAAGCAGTTCTACGAGGACATGGTGGACATCATCCAGGCCACGGTCCAGCAGAACTTTGACACGGAGTCTGACCCACTGTACGACGAGATCCTGCAGCACCTGTCCCTCTGTAAGTCCTACGCAGCCCTCTACGAGTACAAGACCGAGTCTCTGGATTACGTGCAGGAGTATCTGATGCCATCTAAGGGGAGCAGGACGAGCCCTCTAGTGGTGTACGGGGGACCCTGCACCGGAAAGACCCTGCTGCTGTCCGAGGTGGCAAAACAGGTGAGGCATGCAGGCGGTAACTTCGTCTTTTTTTGTGCCACCCACGTCTCAGTTTTCCTCTCATTTTGGCTCTTGCTGTGCGTTTGCGCTCGTCTGTCTGATCCAAGCATGTGTCCATCTTTGTACAACAGAGCATGAGGGGGCGTGCGACTATTCATCTCTTCTCATCAAACGCTTGCTTGACCATCTGTGTGTCTGCCAAGAGGCAGTCCATCACCATGCACATGCTTCTAATTTCCCACGAAGCCATGCAACTGCGTGTGTACACATTTGCCTACATCTGTGTGGAACTTCTGGAAAGTTTGCTTATTAAAACAGTTGCAATGGGTACATTTATTGTTCAGTGGAAGCCAATGTGTGTGTGTGTGTGGACTTCTCTTTGTGCACACGCACCCTACTCTCTGTTCACTCTCCGGCTTTTGTGTGCCATCTGGCCGCCCGGCTACATTAAGATCACACTGTAGCCAAGATCACACAGCAGACACCCACTCATCCACCCCTCCTGTCCAACCTTTGTAATAAACCTCATATTTATTTTAAGCACCATTCAAGTATTTGCCCAAAAGCTGAGCTATAGAGGTGGTATAAAAATGTTACAAGGTGCAACAAAATGATGATGAAAGCCTAAAGTTCAGCGGTAAAGATTTCCAGGAGACGACAGGAAAAGTTTTAAACTTAAAAGTAAAAGGATGAGTGGGAGGGTGTAAGAAGAAGCTGCAGTTTAAACAGCAACATTAATACGATCTATGGTTCTAAATAATTTAACTACAGTTTTAATCATTAGCAGTTTTAGCATTAACTGCTATAGGACTGCTTATCTGTTTTCTACGATCTGGTGACTGTGGACGCCGTCCGAGTACAGTGAACTCGTCGTGTTCAGGACACCAGTTTGAGATGATTGTGTTGCCATCAGAAGATGGTACACTGTGGTCATACACAATCACACCACCGCAAGCCTGAACTGCTTTCACGTTGTTTACACCAAATTCTGGCCCAACATCTGAAAGTTGCGGCAGAAATCGAGACTCACGAGATCAGGCAACATTTTTACAATCTTCTATTTTCCAGTTTTGGTGAATCTTTTTTCAAATGTTACCCTCAGTTTCCTGTTCTTAGCTGACAGGAGAGGCACTCAGTGTGGTTTTCTGCTGCCACAGCTCATCTGCTTCTGGGATTCGCAGGTGTTTTTCTGCATATCTTAGCTGTAACGAGAGGTTATTTGACTTATTGTTGCCTTCCTATCAGCTTAAAGCAGTCTGCTCTTTCTCTGATGACCTTTGATGTCAACAAGGCGTTTTCGCACAGAGATCTTTCTCTCTAAATCTAGAGACGGTTAGTGCAAAAATCCCAGCAGATCGGCAGTTTATGGAATACTCACACCAGCATCTCTGGTACCAACAACAATGCTCAGTTTGAACTTCAGCATTAACCCGTGTATTAGTCTCCAGTCACTTACAGCAAATTAGTAAGAAAATAAATGTATTTGAACTGTTCGGCGGGCCTGGGGTTGATGAGAAAGGGATGCTGTTAGATTCAAGGAGCTTAATAAGGTGTAGAAGCTTGCAGCCACTCGAGTCCGGTGTGCACGACTCACACTGGGCCTGTTAGGTTTGTTTCATTTGAATCCAAGCTTAGGCAAAGCTGGGTCTGCTGGAAAATATAGATCTGTGTTCCTCCACACTGTGGTTTGTTTGTGGAGAGAAGAGCATTTTTATTACGAAACAATTTAGCGGAAATGTAAACGCTACAAATGATTATTTAATAACCGTCAGCTATTTCCTCTAAATAGCATATTTTATTACCCTGCTTCTCCGTAAAGCATCTGTGGTGGAGAAGACCCGGGCAGCCAGCACACAATCTTCATTTCCATCTGAAGATGAGGTGCACTGCATATCTATTTAACCATGTCTTTGATGTGTAATGTAGTGTTTAGCCAGTCCCAGTCAAAATATCCTACACACCTACACTGGTGTTAGAGTTTGGACTGTTTTATTAAGTGTTATTTCTAGTAATACTGATTTTCTTTGCACACTTTAAGGAAGTAGCTGAAAAGAATGAAATGACAAAGACTGGATTTTTTATTTGGAGCTTAAATCTCAGAGTAGCTTTAGGCCTCGGTCGTGTTTTATGATGATAACAGATGTGCGAGGAAATAAAACAGATTTTCATATCATCACACAAACCACACACAATTGCAGAATAAAGATAAATATATCGGATGATAAATTAAACTAGCCGTTAAGGGGACTTTAATAGCGTAATACACAGCAATAGGTAATGGGTTCCTAACAGTGGAATGGCTGCTTTGGCACAGTTAGAGATTACTGGCTATGCAGAAATGAGTCTTTAGAGGCTGCTGAGTTTGCGGCTCGTGATAATCGTCGGCATTTAGTGTACTTAAGGATTGGGTTAATTAAAGTTATGCACATTTATAATCAAGTCACTTTCAAAACAAATGTGCGTTTTATAGTTCTGTGGTGTTTCTGTTGCGGTTATGTTGCATTTTATGTATGTGCTATATTAGTTGGTCGTAATTAAGATGGATGTAGCTACGCTCAGTGGTTACAGAAGTCCTGTTTTTTCAACATTTTCCCCGCTGTCTGATTGGTATTTTAAAAGTCAGGCGTGGATATGACAGTGAAACAGCGTGCTCATTGGTTAATCACTTATCAATCACCTTGTCTGTGAAGGTTCTCAGTCATCCAGGTCATCGTAGTCAAAGGAGCTTGCAAAGAAAAGCGTCTGGACTTCTTTAAGTTACTTGAAGACATTTCACCTCTCATCCGAGAAGCTTCTTCAGTTCTATCAATCACCTTGTTAGCCAATGAGCATATCCTGGATAATCAAAGACTGAATTGGCCGCTTTCTCATAGACTTCTTTACAGTCTTTCTTCTTCAGCTCTCGCCCCCTGGTGACCATTAAGAAGAATGCAGGCTGAAGGCACCTCGTCGTCAGTGTCACGTTTCAAACCTGTAACAGCCGATTTAGACTCATTCCAGTTGGACATGGAACTGGAAACCCCTTTTAAACCTACGCCGTAACCTTCCACGTAACCTGACATGCACTTCCCGGGACATGTAACTACACGCAGGGTCAGTGCACGCCAGGACGACTGAGCAGTGTTGAAAGTTATGGCGAAGGGTTAAAAGAGAGGAATTTGCTGACACGTTTTTATTTGGGACATTGGGACATGGTTGTTATACTCTTACTGAAATGTAACATGTGAAACAAACACCAACGAAGACTATAACAATGAAGTTGCCCTTTATATAGGTTTGCAGGTGGAAAAATCTACACAGCCAAAACAATAAGAAATTAACTCTTTTATATAAGTTCACAGAACGGATTATTTTGCTATCACGAAAACGCCTGTTAGCCTTGAGAAACACATTGTCATTGTCTCACCTGGTGCCCAGGTTCTCTATGTGTGTGTGTGTGTGTGTGTGTGTGCTGCTTTTTTTCATCCTGCATCTGTGTGTACATAGCTCCTCATAGCTGCTAACACACCGCTGTGTTGCCTGGCTCACTGACATTACCTTGCGTACAGTTGAGTGGTGAAAGTTTGTAAATGTGCAGTTCCTAGTGTTAGAAATCCTTTATTTTGTGTGCCATACTGTTTGCTCTGCTGAACAACTTCTGTGTTACTGTTAACTGTCGTCTTTCATTGATGTAACTCAGTCATGTGATTACAGCTGTGAGCGAGAAGCGTGCACAGTTAATACCATTTGCAGCAGAATGTCACCTCTCCTTGATCCTGGTTCTGCTGCAAGTTTTCCTGTTAAAAGGGAGTTTTTTCTTCTCCCTGTCAACAAGTGCTTGCTCGTAGGGAGTTATGTGATTATTTATAATTTCTCTGTATTATTGTTGGCTCTTTACATTACCATATAAACACCCAGCACTAACCTGGTGTTCCAGGTTTGCAGAAGCAAAGCTTTTAAACATTTTCTATAGTGTTATGAGTTTGCTGTTTTATTGCATTTCAAGTCCTTTAAACTCATATTTTTTTTTACTTCTATGTTGGTAATAAAAGCCTGGACACCTTGAACGCAGCGTTGCTAAAATAAACCGATTGTGCACAAAGACAGCCTGTTGTGATGATGTCTATCATTATAATGTGCTGAAGTACAGCTAGCGTCATGCAGTAACTTTAAAAAATATTTATCTTTGAGCACAGGAAACTGAGACTTTGTATTTGACAGTATACTATTCAAACAGAAGGTCTTAGAAACAAAAGCCGTGCTCTAATGTAAACCTGCCTGAGAATAAAGGCTGTTATCTTCTGCCTGCTGAGTTAAATAAAGGTGCCAGACACTGTTTGAGGAAAAATGTTAAATGATTTTTCTACACATATGTTTGGTCTTTGATATTTACAGTTTTATAAATTCAGCGTCTGCTCACATTCCTTACCCGCAGAATGAGGAATGGAGATGCAAACACATGTAAAACATAACATTTTAAATACGCAGTAGACCGAATCTGTCTGTGTGTGTCTGTCTTTTTCTCTCCCTCTCTCTCAAACTCACTGAAAGTCAAATGTGGAGTGTCTTCGTGTTGCCCTGAATATGTCAGTTAACATTTTTAATGTCAAATGAAATCTCTTCTGGGCCATTTAATGAATTCATGACTGAAATTATAAGATCACTATAGCTTCAAAACTAGAGTAGCTCTCATTCACAGAATATTTTAACTGAGTGTTACACATTACACATGTCCAGTAACTAGAAAATGATTAAAAATGGTTTCCATGTTGGATTTATCCACAGTAATAATCTGTCAATGCTGTTTTTCAGGCCTACACGTGGCTGCAGAAAGAGATGGGCCCTGAAAGCGACCCAGTGGTCATTGTTCGTTATATCGGCTCCAGCCAGCTCTCCACAGACCTACGAACCCTCCTCCAGAGCATCTGTGAACAGATTGCATTAAACTACCGCTGCCTGATTCACTTTTTGCCTAACAAGATTCAGGAGATGAAGGAACTCCTGATCAACCTCTTAGGGGAACCGTCATTCCACAGGCCCTTGGTCATTGTCCTAGATGCCCTGGAGCAGCTCTCTGAAGCCGATGAAGCTCGCAAGCTGTGGTGGCTCCCCATCCACCTCCCTCGGACGGTCCGCATTGTGGTGTCAACGTTGCCCAATAAACACGGCATCCTGCAGAAGCTTCGCCACCTCATCCATGATGAGGGGTATTACGTTGAATTAATCCAGAGAGACCGCAAAGTCTGCAGTCAGACATTAAAGCAGCAACTGCTGGGGGTGAAGAGAAAGGTCACCTCAGGCCAACAGATCTATGTCAATGAGGCACTTGCCAAGTGTACCTTGCCAATGTTTGTTAACCTCATCTACAGGGAAGTAGTTCACTGGAGGTCACATAAAGATGTGGACGATAAGTCGCTCTGTTCGACGGTGCACGAAAGCATAGAGCAGTTGTTCTACTCTGTGGAAAACAAGTTGGGCCAACGATTTGTCTTCAGAGCACTAGGGTATATCACCATGGCCAAGGCTGGGCTAACTGAAGTTGAGCTGGAAGATATCCTGTCCCTTGATAACATAGTTCTTGGTGATGTCATTGTGGCAACTTACCTCAAAAACCCATTGAGAATCGCCTATGACTTGATTGCGAAGCTCAGAGAGGAGCTTGAGGGGTATCTGGTGGAACGTCAGGTACGGAACGTCACTTTGATGGTCTGGGCCAACAGGCACCTGCACCTTATTGCCCAGAAGCTGTACCTTAGCAATGAGGAGGACGTGCATCAGATGCATAGCCTCTTAGCTGAGTATTTTCTAGGGGCATGGTCAGGGGGCAGAAAGAAGATCTTTACCTATGATAACAACCATTTCACTTCCTTGAACATTTCTCATCACAAAAACCCTCACCATCAGCAGTCCCATGAAAAGACATCTTCTGATAAGTACTCCTATGACAGACAGACTCCTGAACAACCTTGGGTGTTCCAGTGCAACCTTTTGGAGCCTGACATTTTCTTTGTCAACCACAGAAAAATGACAGAGCTGGTTTACCACCTTACCAGGAGTGGGCGTACAGATGACCTCATGTTTGGTGTCATAATGAACTTCAGCTGGCTCTACACAATGATCAAGATTGGCCAGTTTGAAAAGGCTCTAACAGACATTGACCTAGCTTACAGTTACACCCAAGAGAAAGAGCTGAAGTTTTTAGCCACAACTCTCCGTAGCATCAAAGTAAAAGTGCTGAAGAATCCGGCGTCGCTGTCTGCAGAGCTGCAGCAAAGACTTCTGCCAGTTGTCACCTCCCTGCCTAAACTCAGACACCTCCTTCTGGAGTGTGACAAAGATGGCCCAAAGTACTGCTCTATTGTGCCTCTCCACTCCTCTATGGATGTTACTTACAGTCCAGAGAGGCTTCCTCTTTGCTCCAGCTACATGCAGATTGTGGAGATCCTGCCCACTCTAGCCCCAAACATAGTCCTTGTAGCACTGGAAGATGGATCTGTCAGCACCTGGGATGTAGAGAGCAGGCAACTTCTACGGCAGATCGACACAGCCAGATCTGTTGTGCTGGGAATCAGGTTAACCTCTGATGAGAAGTATCTGGTTGTGGCCACAACTAAAAACACACTGCTCATCTATGATAATCACAAGTCCTGCCTTTTATCAGAGGTTGAAATCAAGGGATCCAAGCATGCTGGCATCACTGGTGGCGTTGCTTTCATTAACGGTTTTACTTTATCTACCCATCATGCTTTGGCATGGCTTGAGGCTAGTAAAGATGTGAACGTCATTGACCTCCTCTATGGTTGGCCTTTGTACCAGTTCCACTGCTGGTATGAGGTGACTTGTGTCCAGTGCTCGCCAGATGGAATGTATGCCTTCTGTGGCCAGTACCTCAACACGGTCTCCATCTTTCATCTTGGAAATGGTGACAAGTTGGCCACTGTGACGTCTGAGTTTTCTGGAGGGTTTGTCAAGTCCATTCTTGTACTCGACACTCTCAGCCAAATGGTGATGATTGACAATGAAGGCAGTTTGTCCGTGTGGAACACCAAAGAGGTCACTAACCCGAAGCTGATGGAGGATTATGATTGTAGAGGGGATGAGACCGAAGTAGTGGGCATTGAGTTAGCGGAAGACCAACGTTCCATTCTCATTTGCAAGGCTCGAAGTATAGAGGTGCTGGACACAAAAGTATGGAAGATGGTAGAAAAGTTTAAAGCCAAACGTAGTGAACGCTTTGTTGCTGCTGTACTCTCCAAGAATGGCCAAAGCATTGTGGCCTCCATGGAAAATACCTCCTCTATCTTTGTCTGGAGGAGAGACAGTGGACAGTGCATGGCTAGCCTGATTGAGATCTCAGGGGCTATCGTGAAACTCATCAAATCAATCCACCACAACTTGCTCCTTTCAGTTGCCAGCAGTGGAGTTCTGTCTGTTTGGGACATTGATATCATCACCGCCATGTCCAACATTGACAAAACAGGGAAGAAGATCCAGACCTTGCAGCTGTCTGGCAGAGAGGACTATGTGTTTACCATGGACGGCTCAGAAGCTGTCCACAAGTGGAACTTTAGCACTGGCTTCATTGAGACAGTCTTTAAGCACGAGGGCATAGTAGAGAACTGTGTCCTAACCTCCTCAGGGGATCTCATGGTGACTTCGGATGACAAGTCCAGTCAGTATGTCTGGCAAACCAACACAGGAGAAAACATCTTCCGCATCAATGGACAAAGAATATCACAATTGTTAATTACGCACAATGACCAGTTTGTGGTGTCCCTTTGTGAGCAGAATGCCTCCAGAGTGTGGAGGCTTGCTACGGGGCACAAAGTCTGCAACATCTTAGTTACCCTCCAGAATGCACTCATCACCACAGCGAACACTTTCCTTGTGGGAACGTCAAAAAACAAGCTTCTCGCTGTCAGCCTGTGGTCAGGCAGCGTATCAAAGAAGTTTGTCTGCGATGATGGCATTACCATTGTCAACTTCAAACTCATTCCCGACTGCCCTGACTGTGTAGTCTTCATCACGTCCACCGAGACAGTCTTCATCTGGAGCGTTGCAGATGAGTCCGTTTGCAGGAGAGTCCAGTTGCCAGCCAATTTCCTCAAAAATCTAGAGGACTTTCAAATCTCACCCAACGGGAAATTAGGGATTGTCTCCAAAGGTGACGAGAATATTAACGTCTTGGACCTTCACAGTGGGAAGCTCAGGCTTGTTCATGCCGCCGGTATAATTTGGCGTCAGAAGTTATCAAGAGATGGGCGTTACCTTGTATACATATGTTTCCGGAACTGTGACGAAGACGACGACGCGGGCGTTGTGTCCAACCTGATCGTGATGCGCCTTGCCGATGGCAAGAGCATTGGCACATGCTCGCTTTACAAGACCCCCACCTTCCTGTCTCTCTCCCAGCGAGCACTAAACATCATCATCGGCTTTGAGGATGGCAGCATTGGCACGTACACAGTAGTGGATCGTGTGGATGCTGCCCTCAAAATAAAGATAGCCACCTCCAACAGCCGCCAGATTGTCAACAATGCCTCTCAGAAGGTCCGTCCCAAATGCAGCAATCATTCCTTTAAGACTGTTGCCGACTGCATTTGGAGAGAGTCAACAGAGGTCTTTTCCAGGGACAGCCCCATCAACGTGTCCGACTCTGGAGAAGGTGAGTCGACAACACCTACGAAAAAGACTGAACTGCTGCAGTGACAGGTGGAGAACAGAGGAGTGGGAGGAGCTAAGGTGGGAGGGCAGAGACAGGCGACAAAGCTTAGAATCTCTGGGGTCGCAGTTGATTCTTGTTTACAGCCACGTGATTCAGCTGCAGATGTCAGCCCTATGGGTAGTTAATGGGCCGACCGGTTTTTATCGCTGCACTCAAGTTATGTATGAATTACTTCCAACTTACGACACACTTTGTTTTACGCATTAAGACTGTTAGAAAAAAGATACTGTTTTTTCAAAAGAAAACACATGTAAATCGTGTGAAGTATTAGTTTGCCATTATGTGTCCTTTTGCATTTGAAGAACAAAGTTATGATTCAGAAGTCTCATTCAAACATTTACAAAGCCATTCCAGTGATCTTAGCCACTATCATCCTACCATATCTTTATTTATATTGTGCACATTAAGCCATACTGTTGTTCGTAAAAGAGTATATTCATGTTTGTATTAATATCAGGCTGTACTGTACAAAATGGAAGAACTATGAACATATGTACATGTCTCTTTTTGGCTGCTGCAATTTGTCCTTAAAAAAACTAAACAAAAAAGTTATGTTGTGCTTAATGCAATCAAAGTGAGTGCCTGGAATTTAAAATGTTCTTTATGTGCAGATTACAAGATTTATGAAAATGCAGGGAATTTGTACACACAGTCTACGCACCGTTGCATAATACTTGCATTGACGCCAGATGTGAACGATCAGTGTACTGGTCAACAACGCGGGAGATGGAAGGCATTGCTCTCTGTAACGATAGTTGTAGAAATTTCTTGGAACAGTTTACGTAAATTGGATGTGAATTTGCCTGCAGTTCCATCAGTTTGTCTGCTGTTCGTTTTTTAAGGGAAACACCACTATTGAGCATAAAAGTAGCATAGCACCATGCACATTCACGCCTTAACCAGTGTATTTGCTTTAGGCTTAGTGGCGTTTGTTCAAGTGTTTCAGTGTTAAAGAAAAGAGTGATTAGCCCAATGTTTCTCTGAAACAGCTCGGCCGTGTGAATATATTTAGAAGTGTAGGCTGTAGGTGGAAGCACTTTATAAGTGGTTTTTGTGAGAAATTATTAGATTTATTCATATGAGACGTATAAATTGTTGAAAGTGATCTAGGTTTGTCTTAAGATTTATCTACAGAAAGACACAAGCTATTCAGGCACTTGCAGGCTACAGCGGGCTCACTTGAAATGCTAGTCTCTTCATATGTGCCTGGTATCATTACAAATGTCGATGCTGTCGTTTTAGCAGCTGACGTCATAGTGGAACAGCTTTGGTAATCAGTGGTATTAAATATGGGTCGGTATTTGACATTGTTTGTCACCCTGTGTAAAAACTTTGGACAAGACACTGAAGATTGTGAATGTGGAGGAAAAATGTATCTTGTGGTGGATATTTCAGCACAGATGTAAAGCAGAAGTTACATTTTAAATGTACATTTTTAAGTTGGACTTCCTGCATTTATTTCAAATTGCGTGCCACGTTGACACCGTTACATTTTTCTTACACATTCACCAACTTTAGTTGTCATGCTGTGTTTTTTTTCCACAACTTTTCAGAAGGTGATTTCTAAATTGTTTCTGAGCTCTATTAAAGTCATTCTAGGAGAAAATCTCACCACTCAGCAGCCATCTTGCTAACACCTCCGGGCCCTTAAAACAAGTGCTAACAAGACCAACCCCTTATCTAAGTAAGTGGAGAGAGACCCATTACTTTAATCCTGTTGAAGCCACTTCAGCCAAAATGGGATTTGTATCCTGTCTGCAGTAACTTTTATGTGGTCCAAGGTGCCTGGGACCTTCCAACCCGTATGTTGAAAGCAGGGAGGGGAGCAGCAACACCTTAACAGAGCAGACTGAGCACCAGTGGCATTAAACAGAGTTGGCCAATAGTGGGTTGCAAAGAATCTTGCAGATGCAATAGCACACCCTAACTGAAGGCTACTTTCAGCCACTCCTTTATTCAAACGGGGTCCCAGCGTGTAGTTCCACATATTTGATTTGGCAGATTTTTATACTGGCAACCGCTGAGGCATTTTTGTCTCCTCCCAGGATCAAACTAGGGGTCTTTCGCTTGTTAGAAAAAAGTGTAAAGTACCACACTATGGAGCCACTTATTGAATTTTGCACATAGGATGGTCAGAAGAGAATCAGCTGATCCATCAAATTATGCCCATTTTCAGTGATCACCTGCAACAGCAGTTACAAAGTTTAGTGACTTTGCTTTTACTAAGTTTGCACAACTTTATGGCTCAGTCTTGAGTGCCAATATGAGCAACAGCTCTGGATCATTCTGAGAGAGCACACACAAAAGTACTGGACAGCAGCTCTTAATTTTCAGCATTTATGAAAGATTGAGTCTTGAAGAGCTCACTGAATTTGAGTGTGGTGCTGTAGTAGGATTCCACTGTTTCAAAAAATCTGTAAAACTTCCTAGATATTAGACCATCAGTTGTAAGTGTGGGCGGGAATGAGGAGTTTAGGGAACCCCAGCAGCACAGGCAGGAAGTGGCAGACTACCTAACAATAAAAAGCATGGTTGTTAATTGAGCTCCAAACCTCCTCTGGCATTAACGTCGGCACAAAAACTGTGTGCTGGGAGCTTCTTCGCATGGGTTTGCATGGCTGAGCAGCTCCCGTCGCTGTAGCGTGTTGCTGGCTCAGTACTTTCGTCCACGTAGCGTATTTCCAGCTTCTGCTGCAGCTCGTTGGAGAGGTGGGAAGCACGGCCATCTTTAAACATTCGTGTCTCTCTCTGATCTTTTTGACCCTTGCTCGATAAATGGAACCCTGATAACATTATGACATGTTAAAACTGTTGAGATCAGCTGACAGTCTGAAGGAATATTGGAACATCTTTGAGCTCGTACCTTGCAGGTGCCATGGGTGGTTTTTCTTTTTTCTCTTTTCAAAGCATGACTGTAATTGAATTTGTCTCAAGCAGTGTTGAGCTGTGGTGAGTCCAAACTTTACCGAGGCATGACAGAAACAAAAAACACACACTCTCACTTTGACATATACTTTTTAAAGGGCTATTCCATCTTATTCTATGTTTACCAGTTTTGAAGAGTTAAGATAAAGGCCCTTGGATAATTTCAAACTAAGTAGCAGCACCAAGCTTTAAAACACTTTATTTCCCTCCGACTCAAGACTTTAAAAAAAGATATTCTTTCAAGTAATTTGCCAAAGTCCCGATTATAGTTTGTGATTTACTTTTGTTGTTTCTGAGGCTTGTACTGTAATTATATTGTTACCAAATTGTTTCAGTGTTCGACTGTGATTATGTTTATGATAGAGAAAAACTTGCTATCTTTGCTAAAGAAGTTTAAAAAAAATAAAATATAAAATATATCGGAATGCCAGTTTAAGAGTATATTTGAATGTGTCCATATGGAAGCCAGTAAAATGGTATTATTGTATGTTAAGTAACTTGAATGACTTTTAATAACTTACATGTTTGCAACTCATAGTTGACATACTGGTAATGAATGTTTCTATGTATTCTTATCGTCAGGACTGACTTACCTGTTTAGAGATTTATATTTTCATAAATGTTGTACTTACATTTTGTTACAGAGTTGTTTAACTGGAAATTCAAAGAGAAAAAGAAACTTATGTCTGAAGCAATATGAACCTAGTGTGTATGCATTGTTTGTATGAAAATTTTAATGTAATAAAATGGTTCACTTTTTGCCTCCACGCTGCCACCGCCTCTGGCCTTTTCTTTCGTTTTTCCTTCTGCAACTAGAGGTTGCTGGACCACATTGTCATCGAGTTTCTTCTTTTAGAAATGAAAGCGTTCTTCTTGTGTGTCGAGAGATTCTCTGCTCAGCTCATTCCTGAAGTGCTGTAAATGAAGTTGCAGAGCATGCTGTGAAACAGGAAATTCATGAAGGTTTGGTTTTTTTTTTCCCCCCGGAGAGCCAGAAAACATTGACAGAGCTGACAGCCTTAAACACACACACACGGAACCGAGCTGTAAAATCATTTGATAGGTCAGTAATTGCTCTTCTGCACACGATGCCCAATGCCAGACAAGCGTGGCGAATATCTCTCCAACGCCGGCTGACGTTGTCATTGTAATTAGGCGAAGCGTGTGCGGTGCACCTGTACGCTGCCCTGCACATGCACACAAACCTGCACCGTAAACACATCCAGGATCAACCCGTGATTAGCCAATAAAATCCTGTTGCTTTGGGCTACCATTTTAATTTCCCAGTGGTCTAACTCTAAGCAGATCCGTGTGTGTGACTTTGTGTGTGTGTGTCCTGTCTCCACAGCAACATCAGGTCCACAGCAGTCACAGGCTTGGCCACGCCTCCTATTGTAATGACGGTGAGCTCATGTCTGTTGGCTGTTGGGGCTGCTTCCAGTCATTAGGACAACAAGGGCTTGACTATCGCTAGCACATTCCACCTGCAGAGCCACACAGGCCTATAATTACACCACTTTGTTTGTTCAATGGGAGGTCTCTGCAGGTCACATGGTGCACCGATGTGTGCGCGTGCATGCATGTGTGTCCTACAGTAGATACAGTTTGTCATTACCTTTTATTTGCCCAGCCCTATAAATAGCCACTTCACTGTCAGCAGCATTGAGCCCTCCTTTTTGTCATCCTTGTATTTTTTCAAGTGTGACCTGTATTTCCTGTGATGGGAAAGCCTGTGACTCACCCATATCTTCCCCTCTCCCCCTCCCTACAGGTACACTGTGGCACACCAGATAAACCAGCCACAACTAAACACTTTAACCCCACGGGCACCTGAAATTTAAGCAAACTCTGCTTAAAAAGAAAAGAGAGAAAAAAAACCTGAATCCTATGGTTGGAAGACGCTTTGTATTTGCCTAACTAAAAGCTTTTCGCCAAATACGGGGTGTTTGCACAGGGAGATCACATCAATTTTGTGCCAGTTGCGGGCAAATATTGTATCTGCGAGGAGAGTTACGATGAATCCCATCAATGGAGCGCGACCGCTCATCTCTCATTATCTCGTATTCTCTCCTCTCATCAGCCCGTTGCAGAAGCGCCAAACTTCAGTTACAACTACCAACAAGCCCTGACCTAGTTCCTCTGAAGCACGCCGGGAGCAGAGACGTGTGAGGAAGGTGCTCCTCTCCGAGTCTGCACCTCTGTTTCCATTCCAGGTGAACAGCTGGAAATGGGAGATGTTCGAGGAGCTGTTTGCTCGTGACAGGTTAAAGAGATTACAGTGTCTGCCGTGTGCTGCAGCATTTAGGGGAGAGTTGATGTGATCACAGAAGAGAAAGTCAGACATTATATGGGGTGGACAGCGATCTTCATTTACTAATTGTTCTTATTTTTCTTCTGTTTTCTTGCTTTATATCAGTTGGATCAGTGACAAAATTTAGGAGGCAAACGCTGGTCTAGCCGTGACTCAGTTCATGTCAAAGTCCATGTACGTTTCTGCAGACTGACACGTCACGCCCAACAATGAGGATATTCAACAGTGTTTGACATGGGATCAAAGCTTTCTGAAACTGCAGAAGTGACTAAGCTTTAATAAGTGTTGTTGTTTTGGCAGGAGAAAAGGTCAAGACCACAAAGTCGGGGTTTCTGAAACCATGAATATTTGCCTTTAGAAAGCCCAAAGCTGAATCCTTGACCTTGGAAACAGCAAGGGAGAAAAACATCGGACCACATTTAGTAGCTTTTTACGCAGATACTAAAGGTGGTGGAACAGTTTTAATAGCGTGGCATGAGCTATTTTAGAAACGCAATGAAACATAAGTATTTTTTTTAGGTTAAAACAAAATCTTGCTGTAAAAATATAGGCATTTAAATGTTACGTAAAGTATTTGAAAGTTGAGAGAAATACATGTCTTAGGTGTATCTTGGTAGTAGTGGGTTGGGACCTTTTTCCTTCAGGACTACCTTCATTCTTTGTGGCATAGATTCAACAAGATGCTGGAAACGTTCAGGGATTTTGGTCCACGTTGACATGATAGCATCATCTTTAATGCCAGTCTTCCCGTCTGCAAACAGTGAGCCCAGCACAAACATGCTCTGTTGGATCTGGTGACTGTGGAGGTTACTTAAGTACAGAGAACTCATTGTCCTGTTTAAGAAACCAGTTTGACTTTTGTGACTTAGCGTGCTATCCTGCTGGCAGCAGCCATCACAACATGGCTACACCCTTACACCACGAGCAGCCTGAACCATTAATACAAGTCAGAATGGATCCATGCTTTCATGTTGCCAAATCTTTACTCTACCTGGATGTTGCAGCAGAAATTGAGACTCAACAGACCAGGCGACATTTTTCTAAACTTCTGTTGTCCAATTTTGCTGAATCTGTGCAAACTGTAGCTTCAAGTTTTCTCTCCCTAGCTAACAGGAGCAGCGTGTGGTCTTCTGCTTTTTGTAACCAATCAGCTTCAGAGTTCAACATGTTGTGCATTCACAGATGCTCCTCTGCATAGGAGTGGTTATTCGACTGTCTCATTCCTATCAGCTCAAAGCAGTCTGGCCGTTCTGCTCTGACCTCTGACATCAACAAGGTATTTTCTCCCAGAGAACCGCCCCTCACTGGATACTTCCTCTTTCTCAGACCATTCTCTATAAACAGAGATGGTTGGGTGGGAAAATGCCAGAAGATCACCAGTTTTTTGAACACCAGCACTAATAAAGCAACTTAAATCACCCATTCTGATGCTCGGTTTGAACTTCAGCACGTCATCTTGACCATACCTAAAAGCACTGACTTATTGCTATGTGTTTGGCTGATTAGACATTTGCATTAACAAGCAGTTGAACAAGGGTATCTATCAAAGTGTCCATTGAGAAGAGAATCTCTCAGAACCCCATGACAAAATAACAACACAGAAGAAGCACAGCAATGATATTAATCGGCCTGCATCAAACTTTTTAAAGAAATAAAAAGGTGTAAACATGACAAGAAGTTCTTTACGGTTCAGCTTCATATTTAGCAGATACATCTGATCCATACAGCATAATGAATGAACTCATGTCCCCAAATTCTTTAAACTATCGACTTGTATTTTTTCAGCAACTTAAAGTCTCCGTCCATCCTTCGTCTGCATGAAACCTTCATTCTGCTCAAGAATGAAAGTTAAACATAGAAAACAGAAAGGAAGCAGTGGAGTGAAAACAGACGGAAAGTATTTATGCGGCACCACAGGCTGTATCTTTGAAAATGTCTAGGAAGGGACTACTTTGCATCCAATGCGTAACATTGTTGTCATGTTTTGTCTCTTTACCGGAATGTTAGATGTCACCCTGTCAAAAGCAGCCAGAGTGGAAAAATGCCTCCAAGTTTTTCTTTTCCAAAAGCGCACACACACACACACAAACACACACACTAGACTGCTGCCACTTAAGCCTTGTTCCACAATTAAAGGAGAACACCCAAAAGACCCTTTGTTCCTGTTATTACATTACTGTCTTTTGTAACACAGCTCCAATGAAGTTTTTTTAAAAAAAAGTTTTTCCTTTGATCCCTTCAAGGATGAACTTACTTTGTGCATCTGTAAACACTCAAACCTTTTTTTTAGTTGCATGTCATTATCAGGAAAGTAATTTGTCCCGTAAAAAGTTGCTCGTCCATCCTGCTAATAAATCAATATTTAATAAGAGTGTCGCTTAAGGATCCAGACCAACACACATATACATTCTTGTTGTTATTTTCCTGAGATTTCCTCTAAAAAAAGTTAAGATTTCATTCATTTGCACAATAATAAGTAATGTGAGAGTTACTTTTAAGCCAAACTCATCCAGGAAGTGCACTTCTTCCTTTTTCTTTCTTTTCTGGATATTTGCCAGGCTGCTTTAAGGGGAGAGGGAGTCTCAACTCTAATCACTTCCAAGTCATATGATCAACTGTGGTCAGGTGGTGGCTTGTCAAGCTGGTCGTGGGTTAGGTGGTCAAGACAGGAAGTCACATTAAACGTAAATCACATTCATTCCACTCAGTTTTAATTCCTTCACCCACAGATTAGAGCCACTTCATTAAAGCTTCATACAAACTTAAGCCACTGTGCCAGATATCAATATGTCTGTTATGATCTGAACAGAGGTGACTTTATTCTGGTACTAATCTGAATTACAGTGATGCTGTGCTTTTTAACAGAAGTACATAGCCTTTATCACTACAATATGTTCATGATTGTGATCTCTTAAAGCAAATAATTCTTGTTATTTTATGAGTCTTTATTTAAAGGTAAATTAATAAACTGTCAAAACTAGAAGAAAAAGAATTATGGGAATGATAAGAAAGAGAGGATTAAGAAGAAGGAAAATAGAAGAAAATGTATTTCCAATTTTGAAAATATGCTATCTGGCAACAGATTCACAATCCACAAAACATTATACATGTATATAGTGAATATATCATTACTAAAGTTATTTTATTTACGTGTTCTAATTTTAAAAGTTTTGATCTTGAGACACTGTTTCAGGGGTCAAATACTGCTTTTATGGGCATGTTTAAAAACTGACGTCAGCGTGTGTAAAAAAATGCAAAGGCAGGCATGCAAATAGATATTTAAATCAAAAACAAGGGAGGGAAATTAGTGCTAAAAAAAGACACTGAAAGAAATCACTATGCCAATTTATAGATATATTTTTTAAAAAAAATATAAGAATACTTTCTTTAATCGAAATGTTAGGAAATCTCGTGTCATTTTCTTGTAATCCATCAATTATGACAATTACTCTAAAATTACCAATAATAAATAGGTTTTACAAGACCTCAATAAAATAAAATACAATATACACCTCTCTAAGGTAAACACTACAAAATATAAGAAGCCGAATTAACTATAAAAATAAAGCTGATAAAAAGACGCTATAAGAAGCTGAACGTAAATTAATGAGGTGGGATACAATCACTCAACATTATATATGCAGATAGTTGCAGCTCTTTTATGTCTTTTTATTATAATAAATTAAATAAAATTAAAATCAAGTTAGCAAAGTGACCGTTGCTTTGTAGCTTTTACTGTGAAGGGTGTAACAGGAAGTAGCTCCGCTTTGGTCCACTAGTTTCCCGGAGTAACTCCCCATCAGCGCGCTCCTGCCCGCACCGGAGACATGGGACTGAGGAGTCACCGAGGGGGAAACTCTTCAGCGACTCAACACAACAAACCAAACTAAGGAAAGCAGCTGTTGCTCACCATGTCGTCCGGACTCTTAATTTTCTTACCTGAGTTTTTAACTTTAACTCAGTGACTTTAAAAAAAAAAAAAAGGACCGGAAGAGAAGCTAGATAAATGACATCCGTGCATTTTTGATTACCTGGGGCAAAGTGCCACACCTTCGCTCACCAAGACAGGTAGGTTGAAACAGTGTTTGTTTTATTGCTAATCTTCGTTTGCTGCTTACAGTGAGTTTGAAAAAGCTGAATTTGAAAAGTGTTGCTGAGATGTTATTAAAGTGCTGTTTGACGGTTGTTCACCGTCAACAGGTAGACCGGTGCTGTGATGTCAGCCATATGGCGCAAGTGTCCACATCAGAAAGCACAGCAGACAGAACACAGGCACAAATAAAATAAAATAAAATAAAATAAAAGTGTGTTACAGTCGTGCTGTGCCACAGCAAAACAAACTTTAAAGTTTAAAACACACACAGGGTTTTAGAGTATTTTGATTAGCATAGCTACAACGTGAGGCATTTTTTACAGTGACAGTGGAGGTGTGAGTGCACCTGCTGCACGTAGGACTCTTTAACCTACTGCGCTAAAACAACTAAAGTAAATATATGTATCTCATATAATTTTTTTTATAAGCTTTTTTCCCAATGTAGCCCTCACCATTTATGAAAAACCTTTATAATAATTATAATAATAAAAATAGTTATTATTCTTGTTCTTATTATCTGTCTGTCTTTTCCTGGCATGTGGGTGTAAGAAGTTTAACTACAGTGTTTGTAATTCAAATTTAAAGCATACTTCGGTGGATGTAAGCCAGGCTAAACATTTCCATAACACCCTGAGCGCTTTGGTCATGTTCAGGTGAACTGAATGAGAGTGTTGAAAACTGTTGTTATTGAGGTTTGTTGAATTGGAGTAGACAGGTAGAGGAACACACACACACACACACTCACTCACTCACTCACTCACTCATGTACATGGCCTTGGGCTGTGTTTGCACATCTAACACGCTGGCTCAGTGAACCCAGGGTCAATGGAGACTTTGTTTCTGGGTCCGTGCCCTCGTGTACAGCTGTTATATGTCAGTGATGGCGTTTAGATTATTATAGAGAGTATAAAAGATGGATGGGGCCCGCTGTGACATCACCCAGTGGTTATGGAAGTCACCTTGGAAAGCCTCCAGTTGTCGCCATCTTGGCAAGTAGCTTTCCGATGAGCATTTTTTGACTTTAAAAGTGACCATAATATGACCTAAACCTCACAACTGAGACCATAAACCCATCATGAAAGTCACAAATAAAGGAAAGCAAGGGATTTTTCTTCCTCCTAGACAACCAAAAATGTTTCTCAGAACCAGACAAGTCGCCCCCTGGTGGTGATTTTGTATTTTTTTTAAAGACTCTTAAGTCGCTTTCAAGATTCCTTCAACTTGCAGTTTTGTGCAAATTATTCCACAGATTTGTTGATAAAGAAAGCCATCGATTACAGCAAGGTGCAAAATGTTCAGGTGTGTGAGCTCCACCCCTAAAAGCTCCTTTAACTTTTCAAAGTATTTTCTTTGTTGAGTAAAATAATGTCCCTAAAAATTAGCGTGGAGACTGGTGGAGTGAGGCAGGATCGAGTCACCACGCCTTGGCTGGTGATTTACCATCAACAGTGGTTTGTATTAGCCCATTGCCTTTAGTGGCTGACTCAACCCTGTGGCAGCTTATTACACAAACCCAGACATTTAAAGTGCATGCAAATACCATTCGCCCCAGGTCTAGTTTGCTTTGTGCTGCAGGATCAGGACACATACATGAGAACAACTCAGTGCTGCTGTTTACATTACAGTGTAGAAAATAGCTGGCACAGGTAATGTGTCTCTTTTACTTGGATGTGTTGAAGTGTACGAGCAGAGAAATCACTAAAAGCCCAATAAGATAACAGAACAAAGAGGTGCAGCACTAAAATGACCAGAATAAGAAGGGGAAAAGGCTTAAACCAACATGAAAAGCCTTCAGCGTATAAAGGCTGACGTACTGTACGAGGCAGTGAATGTAGGGCTGCTGAGTCATAGACGACCTGCATATTCGACATCCACCGATTGTGAAATCAGTACATTTTTAAAAAACATTAATTTAGGTTTCTTAGAATGGTGTTAGTCATGTTCTGATTGACCTAAGCATGTTTTAATGGTGGCAATAGTGGAATTTAGTCTGTGTAGGTTCAGTGAAAATTTTCACTTTCTTCGTGTTTTCACACCTTTGAAGTTCAGTCTGTTTAAATCGAATTCCGGTTCTTTCTTCCCCCTCTGTGTGGTTTATATGTGCAGGTGTGAACACGGAAGTTGCACTAAGCTGTGGACTGAGGTGTACAAGTATAATTTAAACACCTTTGCATTCTGGGACGTGGCAGGGTACCGCCTACTTGTTAAGTGATGAGGTGTCAACCGTGCTTCTGTGTCCAGGCTCCTACTGCGTTAATTGAGGCTTTTATCGTGTTTTATTTAATATAAACAAGTCTCTAAAAATAATCTGTGGTTTTTCTCGGCCTTTCTGTTTTTCAACTTTACCTGTTCATGCGCAGCACATTTTTAAGGTCATGTTTTAAAACCCCACCATGTAACTACAGCCCGGCTCGCGATGTGACAGGCACCAAATATTTGAACCCTTCAGAAACAAATCACTCTGAGCCTAACTAAGATTTTGAGTGGATATACAAAGCTTAGGATCTGGAATTTTTCATAGTGAGTCATCCAGACCACGCAGTAGCATATTGATGACTAACCTCATGTTGTGGATAGATCATCTCGACCGTTCTTTTGATTGAAGTTGGTTCAGTTTTTGCCATCTTTTTCCTGCCATATGATTTTAATTTGTGGCTCGCTGTCAGGGACCTTCAAATTGACTTTTACTGAGGGGAACAAATTTAATGTTCATCCTCCATCTTCATTCTGCTAAATGCAGGGGTAGGGAACTCCAGGCCTCGAGAGCCGGTGTCCTGCAGCTTTTAGATGTGTCCTTGATCCAACACAGCTGATTTAAATGGCTAAATTAGCTCCTCAACATGTCTTGAAGTTCTCCAGAAGCCTGGTAATGACCTAATCATTTGAGTCAGGTGTGGTGACCCAGGGTGAGATCTAAAACCAGCAGGACACCGGCTCTCGAGGACTAACGTTCCCTACCCCTGTGCTAATGTGTTTATATTATCCTAACTAGCTCTGTAGCTAGCCACCAAGTACCACACAATTAAATAGCACCTAGCCCAACCTCAATATCCCTCCAAAGTTGCTGATGTTCAGTTTTCTGTCTTTATTCAAGTCTAAAGTATTAGCAGATTTTAGAAATCTCTCAGAGAGAACTTGGCATATCGTCTTTGCATAGAAGCTAGCGTGCTAACTTCTGATGTAATAAAAAAGTCCTTCTGACTACATAAATGAACATGCACGGTCAGTATGGGCTAGCAACTGGCCGTAAAATTAATGAGAATTCGCTGCGTTATCCACCAGGCCACACTGCTTTCTTCCTGTTTTTACTTTTGTTATGCTTCCGAACAATGAGCTAACTAACTGTCCAAGATCACGAGGTTTGTAGTGATGTGTTTTTGTTCACTTGGAGTTTTTTCTTTTCCGATTCAGACCACAGTAAATTAACTGTAGGTGTGAAAACGCCCTTAGAGAATCCCTCAAAAGGGTCATCAAGATCATTGGCAGCACTTAAAGTTCACATGATGCTAGCCTCTGTATTTGCCAGCAAGATAGCAGGTAGATAGCATTTATTAATCTACAGCCTGATGGAAAGATTGAGGTTGAGTGAAAGAACATTTTGGGAGTATCAGGACTATGTAAGGCCAGTTTGTCATGCTCTGCCACTATACAGTCAAAATAAAAGCGTGCTGATCTATTATTACCTGCTAGCTGATGATCTGAAGCCTTTACTTTAATGATAGTGACCCTGTGATGAATAAACCATTGATGTAAATCTGGCCTTCAGGAGATAAGACTTTATTGTCAGAGTAGCTATACAGCAAAACTTTGTTCCATAGCAGGCAGTGCAGTGTTTGTGTACTTTGTGGTCTGTTTGTTTTTGGTTTATCATTAACATTTATTGTGTAAATCTGACTTTCCTTTGAACGCCCTGTCACTGGATGTGCATCTGGCCTTTATTTTCTTTATAGAAGAGGGTTATTTTTATTCAAATGTTTGACTTCTTTTTAAGGTCAGCAATCATCAAGAAAACACGAACCAGTGTGCATTTTACATTCATTTAAATTTATTAGAAAAATGATCTGTTTTGCTTTGATTAATTAATTTCAAGATGATACTTCGGGCTGCTGCAAAGACCACGATTCATTATACTTCATTATACTGAATAATTAATCAACAGCTTGGTCACTTTAAATATGTCCAAGTCCATATTAGTGGTTAAAAGGGGTGCCTGCACGAGCTCACAAGTATATGAGATATCGTGCACGCGAAAAGCAAATGATGATAACACAAATGGAAGGATTGCGAGGAACGGAGAGGGCAAAAACACCGGCACAGGACCTGAACGGAGCAGCAGCAGGAGCTCCACAAATCCCACATGTGCCAGTCCCTGCTTTTTAATTATTAACTTGTTTTGTTTGACCCACAGTGGGTCACCTTGGGCACCAGGAAATTCTCACTTTTCTACACAAAACAACTTAAAAATCAGTCAAAAGAAAAAGAGCACTTCAAGTGTTCCTGTTGTGCACCATGGTGCAGTTGGTTTATGCAGATGTGAACACTGTAGTCGCACTCGGGTGTAGAGAGTGACAGCTGAGAGGAGGTTTTTGCAGTCTGGGTCCAAACGAACCCCAGGAGGGTTACTACTAACTACTAGGTGTACACATGTTTGAGCTTAACACCTTCCTGCAGCCAGGTATGCTTTGCATTCTGGGATGTAGCAGAGAATGTCTGTAGTACATCTTCCATATTGTTCAATAGTCCAGAACACAGCACCTTCTTCCAGTATAAGCTCTTCCTGCTCTGACCTTGTACACATCTGGCCAGTAAGCAGACAGAATGTTCTCTCGTGGTTTGCAGTGACGCCTTCTAGTTCACTTGAAACTCATCAACTGATTTGGACTCGAGCAAATGGCCTATAGGTGTAACAACCACCTTGAAGTTGAGAGGTTTATTTCTGTTCTAAATTCATAGAAAGAGATCAGGAGACAGGGAA